TTTTTGGACCAAAAATATCACAATATATCGCCTTGTTCACAGTATCGAAATATATCGGGATATATCCTATCGTGACCCCCCTGTCATGATATGTATCGTATCGCCAAATTCTTGCCAATACACAGCCCTACTCATTTAATGATGAATTGACCTTATAATGTACGTCTCTTCCTGGTTACACCCCTGGAGGTATTACCTTTTACATCAGATGTAAATGTAACCAACTTTGTTTACACTACAGCCAGCACACATTGATAACACACACCAACTCATTATGGCTGCAATGATCAGAAAGTATAAAACACAAGACTAGATCTAACATTCAGTTAATCATTTACAAAATTTCCTTCACGTTCACAAGTCTTTTTGATACTTTTCATTGGCTAACCATCCATACAACCAGAAGCAGGTGTGAAAGGTGACCAATAGATCTGATTTATACAGAAATGTGAAAATACTGTAATTTGTAAGGGGGGTGGGGGTATTATTTATTTCCCAGGCACGTAGTTCAATTCTATTCCAGAATCAATTAACTATGTTACCTTCAGTACCTGCAGCCAGGGAGGAGCTTTGTACCAGCAAGTGATTAGGTGGCTCCRCATGGCTACAGGAGATTCAAGGATTTCTCAAACATGCATGAATGAGTCAAAGCAACTCTCAGGATGTTTTTCATCAGGGAATGACATTATAACAAGATATAAAGCTCAAAATTTTCATTTTTCATAATACCTGCTTTTTAAAAAATGAGATCCAATTTTTTTTATCTGATATTATTTTTCTTCTTTTAAGGATGATTTCATGAATCACAAAAAATCCATAAAACTGTTAATCCTTTTGATGTTTCAGTTCTTTGCTTTTTATGCTTCCTTATTTATTTTTGCTTTAATCGACAACCCCTGCCTTGTGCAGCCAGTGTTGCAGTTCAGAGTGAGACGACATCACCAGGATGCAGTGATGATGCTCTGCAGGTTCAAATGAACACGTCTGCTTTTTCTGGGATAACAGCCGTTTAATGGTATTTCAGGGCTGTCATAAACCAGTAACTGTATTATTATTATTA